GCCACGGCACTCACTCTAACCAGGGCAACACAGTGAGACTCTGCCTCAGTAAATAAATAAATAAATAAATGTCTAAGGGAATTAGCCCAAATCACTCTTCCCTTATCTTTGTGACAACGCAAGGCCAAGCCCTCTGCACAGCCGTGCGGGGGGCCCGGCCCCCATTGCCATTCCAGCTGTAGACTCCCAGAGGCCTCCTGTCCAGGCCTGGCCTACCAGCTCCTCCGGACATCTCACAGGACCCCTCGGCCTTTATCAGAGGATTGCGGAGGAAAGGAAAGGAAATTATACATGTGAAAGTATTTGATTAATTGTGGAGGACTGCATATAGATCACTGGCCATTGCTTGTTCCCGCAATCAAGATTTCACTACACAGGTTGCACGACTGTTTGGATTTCAACCCCGGGACTGGAACGTGGGTATAACTCGTCTCTAAAAGAGCAGCGAACCATGGAGAAAAGGAAGACACTCAGGAAAGGCACCCAAACCCGTAGCTACTAATTCATGCGCCACAGATTACTACAGGCCTGTGGATTTTGCCAGGAGTCCTCTCTGATATGTGTACTGTGCACTCCCTATAAACTGAATAATGGTGTCTAACACGTGTTATTAATTTTCTAATACATTGATATATTTGGTGAGATCCATAGAATATTTTATCTATTTCAAAGTATTACTAAATAGGAGGTTTCCACATTTAAAAAAGGAGAAAGGAAAGGCACTCTAAACATTTTAATATTCCTTATCGCAGAACAGAGTGCAATTCTTTGCACATAATAGGTAGTCAAAAATTTTGAATTAGTCAATAAATTAATGAAGAAATAATTGTGTTTTTTTATTTGTCTGGGCTTTTACCAATAGGAACAAATCCATAGAGACTAACAGATCTCTCATATTCATAAAAGAAGAGCTTATTCTATGGTAGTTATTTTACTAACAGTAATAATAATAATAAATTTTCACATCTGCATCTTGTTTATCCTCAATACAGCACCGTGAACTAGATGAGCCAGGTATTAGTCAATAAATCAGAGAGAAAAGAGAAATCTGAAGATACTTAAATCCATAAAACACATATCATAGCATTAACTTCTCAAAAAAACAAATATGGAATAATTATAAAAACGCTAAGTCAAAGTATGAATAATTACTACATTTGATGTTCAGATTTTGCCCATCCAAGGGCAAATCATAGCGTCCTAGAACTGGAAGGCTCTAGACATTTCCTAATTCAGTGTTTCCCCAAATTGTTTGTTCAAAAGAATCACATAGGATAAGGTGTGTGTGTGCGTGTGCGTGTGTGTGTGTGTGTGTGTGTGTGTGTGTTGCGTATCCCTGCCCTTGAGATTCCCATAATTCAGTATGACTGGGCTGAGGGCTACGAATCTGGTTTTTGAAGACCCTCTGGGTGGTTCTCTTGTCTTGGTGAACCTGGAAAACATAGATGTGGTTAAAAAGAGGAAATTCAATGATGTTTCCCAAAGTCCCACCACTAGCGGGTGGTGGAGTTGGAATCAGAACCCAGGTACTGTCCTCCCAGTCCAGTGCTCTCCAGCTCTTTCCTGCCTTGGTCTGGGTTGTCATGCGCCAAGACATTACAATCTTCATTTTACTCGTGTAACCCATTCTAATTCCACTGCTCTCCAAACACTGTTCATTTTTCCTACACTGTAAGCATCATTTTAGGCAAACCAGGGCCCAGGCTGTATTTGTAGAAATGAAATCTAACATGATTTAAAAGAAAATGAAACACTTCGAGAATTAGGCTTGGTGGAATAGTCCTTATTCTGTTCTACCACTGAAAATGATCGATGGGGGAGTGCTTTCCAGACCTGTCAAGGACTCTGCAAACATCGGCGTGCGGCCAGTCCGTGGATGTGAACG